CGAGCAAAGCCCACATAGAAGAAGCCCACCGACCTGGGTGATCCAAGGACTGTAAATAATAAAATCCAAGACTGGAAGAGGAAACTACATCAGAGTTTCAATTCTGAGCACAAGGTTTGCAGAAGGCTATGAATGACAGTGAAAGCCTGAAATCTATTTTTAGGGTCCCCACATGGATCAAGCCTTTGCTGAACCCCTCTGACCATTCCCCAAGGATGTGACAGTCTTGCTATCAGACAGAGTGCATTGTAAAGTAGACTCATGCAGTTATAACTAGGTTAAAATGTAACACCTTAGACTTTGTTTTCTTTTGACCCATTTTAAATCTGTTAATTTTTATTATTTTCTGCTTCTTTTATTGAGGTTCTTCTGCTTAATTTTCTTATTGTTGGATTTTGCTTTTTGTTTTCTTGTATGTTTTTCTTTATATGAAATCTAGGATAGGTAAATCCCTAGAGACAGTGACTAGATAATAGTTTCCTGGGGTTATGGCCCTGGTGGTGTAGTGGTTACGTGTTGGGATGTGAGCCAAATGGTCAGCAGTTTGAAACCACCAGCCGCTCTGTGGGAGAAAGACTGGGCTTTCTACTCCAGTAAACAGTTACAGTCTCAGAAACCCACAAGGGGTTGGGGGTGGGGGGTGTTATTATGTGTCAGCATTGACTGGATGGCAGTGAGTTTGGGTTTTTGGTTGGGTTATAGCCAGGAAGAATGGGGGATAATAGTAAGCTAATAATGCGGACAAGAATGAAGGAAATGTTCTAAAATTTAATGCTGCAATGATTAGACCAACTCCTTTTTTTAATATGTTAAAATAATTTAACTGTATGATATATGAATTACATGTCAATAAAACTTAAAATTAAAAATAATAAAACAAAGATATTACTTACAGAGAAGATGGTAAGATATCTGGGACTTGGTTCAAAATAAATAGAGTAAGGTCTCTGTGGATAGGCAGGGCACGATTGGCTGGGACAATTACTGAAGTTAAGCAAGGGTACGTGTGGATTCACTGCATTATTTTCTGTACTATTTGTATGTGTTTGACATTTTCCTTGTGCTTTATTTAAAGGATAACATGGTCACGATAAAAATCACTGGGTAGCACAAACCGTTCCATTCTGGACTACTAAGTGGAAGGCTGGTGCCCCAAACGCACCCAGCGACCCCTCAGAACTCAGGCCTGTGATGGGTTTCTGAAAGAGCCCCGAGACCCCGACAGAGCAGATGTCACTGCACACACAGGCTGCCGGGAGCACGAACCGAATCGATGGCGATAATGACATCAGAGCATCGATCTCCTCAACCACACCCTCAAACAGGGCAAAAAGGAGTAAAGGAGACTGCTGCGCCAAGGCCACGAGTGACACTGGGCCCAGGGCTCCCCGTGAGCTGTGGGCGCTAAGAGCACGGCTGGAAGGAGCGTCACAACAAGAGCCAGCACATCGGAGACAGCTCTGGAGAGAAGAGCACACTGGGAGGAAGCTGGGTTTCAGGGAGTCGACAGGAGCAGGAGAACACACACACACACACACACACCCCCACCCCGCACCCCCGTTGATAGAGCGACAAAGTAAAGAGCAGGGAAGGCTCTACAGCAGTGGGTCTCCACCTTCTTCATGCCCCGACTCTCATACAGTTGCTCCTGTGGGGGTCACCCCCAACCATAACATTAATTTCGTTGCTACTTCATAACTGTCATTTTGTTACTGTTATGAATCGGGCGACCCCTGTGAAAGGGTCATTTGACCCCTAAAGGGGTCACGACCCACAGGTCGAGAACTGCTGCGCTACAGAAACAGCGAGAGCAAAGCAGGAGCAAAGAGAGAGAGACTGAGAGTTACTGAGTGAGGCTAGGATCCAGCTCTGGTTGAGAGGAGAGGACACAGTGAATCTGAAAGACCAATCTAAATTCGTCGGTAGATCTGTTGGTGGAAAGACAGAGTTATGTTTTAATTGTTTCTAGTTTCTTAGTGGAATATGAAGGAAGGCCATAAGCTAAGAGTAGGCAGGTGAGGGGCAGTGGTCAATGGTCTGAGGAGTGAAGGTGTGAATTAATTACTGTGAAGACTGGAAAGTGAATTGACCATGAACATTTAAGAAGACTGGTGTTGTCAGGTGTCATCAAATAGTTCAGGTCCACAGCCACCCTATACGCACAACAGAACGAAACACTGCCCAGCCTGCGCCGTCCTCACAATTGTCGTCAGATTCAACCCGTTGTTGCAGTCATGGTTCAATCTATCTTCTCACGTCTCCCCTCTTTTTCACCATCCCTCCACTTCCCAAGAATGGAAAGTGCTTCTCTAGGGACTGGTAATCCTGCTAACAGGTCCAAAGTGTGTGAGATGAAGTTTCACTATCCTCGCTTTGCAACAAAGCATTCTGGTTGTGCTTCTTCCAAGACAGATTTGTTTGTTCTTTGGGCAGTCCACAGAACTTTCAATATTCTGCACCAGCACCATAATTCAAATGTATCGATTCTTCTTCAGTCCTCCTTAGCCAATGTCCGACTTCCACATGCAGATGACGCCATTAAAAAATGCGATGGCTTGGGTCAGACACCCCGTAGTCCTCAAAGTAACATCTTGCTTTTCAATACTCTACAGAGGTCTTGTGCAGCAGAAGTACCTACTGCAACATGTCTTTTGATCTCTTGGCTGTTGCTTCCATGCGCATTGATTAGTGGATCCAAGCAAGACAAAATCCCAACAACTTCAACCTTTTTTCCATTTATCATAACATTACCTGTTGATCCAGTTGTGAGGATTTTGGTCTTCTTTACAAAAGAGGAGCACAGGAAGTATTAAAGGCCTGTTGGAAATTCATGATCATCAATTTAAAGCAACCCAATCACCTTATTTTGCTATATTTTAGTCACTGGAGCCCTGCTGCCCCTCTGCAGGAGAAAGACGGGGCTGTCTACTTCCATGAAGGTTCACAGTCTTGGAAACCCCCAGGGGTACTTCTACTCCATCGATCTCTGCTCTGTTCTACTGTCTGCAGGGTCATGAGTCAGAATCGGCTTGATGGTAGTGAATTATTTTAGCCAGATTCACCTGCCTAAGTGCCAGAATGAAGAGGACCAAAATTTTGGATTTAACCAGGGCTAGGATTTTAATGTGAGCAAAAGACGAGGAGCAAGATAAGAAAGGAGCTGAGGAATGCCAGAGTGATGAGGATGTTTCATGATAGGAAATAAGCAGGATATGAAAGGAAGGCTTTAAGAGGTAAGGGATTATGGGAATAGAAACCAAGGGCACATGGCATGAAGACAGGAGGCGGCCAGAGATGAGGATGCTGCTCATCATGGGTCTTTGGGGGAGATACGGGTCCTGATAGTGGTAAGAGAGAAGAAAACGATCTTTGAAAGTTAAAAGCAAGGAACAGAGGTGTCAAGGAACTGGCTTGATTGTTCAGCATCAAAAGTGCTCGGGATGATAAAAATGACCTAACATGGCCCTGCTCCACACTCGCCTTCATGGAGAGGTCACTGAAGAGCAGGGTGCTGCAGCAAAGTGCGGTGAAGACAGCAGATGGTGCCTGGCTATCAATCACAACAGTGCCTGGGGTCTTAAAGGCTTGTATTCAAACAAGCAGTCCTCTAGGTCTGCGTGGAAGCAGCACACGAGAACTGTGTGGTCAAAAGATGAAACAAAACCCACATATGAGGAGGGAAAGTATCAGAGCTTGAATTGTGGACACTCAATTTGTAGAAGGCTCGGGGAGGGGAGTGGGAGGCTAAATCCATCTGCAGACTAGTCAGATCAAGCCTTGGGCAGATGCCCTCTGGCCACAGGTGAGGGACTCAAACGGCTTTATTGTCGGACAAAGATTATTGTAACCTGGATCATGGTGGATTGAACCACGTTATGATACTCATCAGTTAACCTCCTTCTTGACCCAACCTCAATTTGCTTAAATATCTCTTGCTTGTTCTATGACAGAAAATGCTTCTCTTAGTCTTGTTAATATTGCTGCTGCTCTTTTCTTTTTTGCTCTTTATCAGTTTATTTTTTCTTCTTTGTTTTATTTTGTTGTTTTCTAAAGTCTCTGTTAAGTTTCCCAGTTTATGAAGTACAGAAAGAGTGGGTGCAATGGATCGGGGTGGGGAGAGGGAGGGGAACTGGGGAGCAAACAATGAATCTGGGAGGCGGGAGGGTGCACTAGAATGGATTGTGATGGCTTACATACAACTCGTTTAAAAAGTGGCTTAACCATGGAAGTGTATGCTATGTGACTTTCATATTAAGAAAACTAATAAAACTTTTAAAAGAATAACTCCAAAGTTGACCAATGGCTACCATGGATGAAGGGGGAAGAGTTTTTAATTAGCAGGTATTTAGTTTACATTAATGGTGGTGGAATAATCAGGAAAAGGATATCAATAACCTTGTACAATCTGAAGAGCATATTCAGTGGCACTGAATTATACAAGTTGGTTGAACTGGAGAATGTTTTGTTGTGTATATTTTTGCCACAATTAATAATAATAGTTACACTAATAACCATGAAGAAAAGAAGAAAATGTGCTAAAATGGACTGTGGTTACATTAAGATTGTGCAACTCTTCTTGATATGATTGAACTACTAAATCGTACTATTGAAGTGTCAATAAAACATTTTTTTTAAAGGAGTTGGAGCAGAGAGCAAGACAGTGGGCCAAGTTCTAAACTCAGCAATGAAGGTCGAGCAAGGCCTGGATGACTGCAAAGGGAAGAGAGAGGGGAGGGAGTGTGAGCGAGTGGTATGCACGTCAGACAAGGGAGTGACTTTAGGGGAGGAGCAGGGGCCGGGAAGCAGAGCATGAAGAACCCGATGGGATGGGGAACGATCCAGGAAGCAGCATCCTCAGGGAGGGTCGGGGGTCAAGGCAAACCCACAGTGAACAGTATCATCCCAAACCGGCTCAGTTTGACTTAGCTACTTCAAATAAATAAAGCAAAAAAACCCCCCAAAACCTGCCCGCATGACAAAAATGTTCAGACTTTATTTACCTTCCTGTTGTAACTGAGCCAAGAAAAGTGCAAGGTATGTGTCTGATATTAATTCTGGACCCGTCAAGAGAGAATTCAAGTTAAACCACTGGAAAAGAAAAATTGTCAACATTTACGTTAGTGCACCCACACCCACACCTCTTGCCAGCCGAGTCAATGTTGAGTCACAGTGACCCTATAGGGTAGAGTGGAACTAGGGCGTCTAGGGCTTTAAGGACGCCGACTGCCCCTTCTTTCTCCCTTGGAGTGGCTTGTAGAGTCAGACGTCTGACCTACTGTGCCATCAGGGCTCCTCCAGTTAGTGTAAATCAGGAAATAAAGAAGGTGCACACAACAAGAACAGGTAACATGTGTTCCACACATCGTCAGAATAGCCACTGGAAGCACATCAAACAAAGACATTTTAAAAGCAGCGGAACAATGTGATTTTAAAAAACAAATAATATGCTGCACATGTAACACTATTAAACTGTATTTCAAAATAAAAGCTTGCTTTGAACCACAGGTTTTAATTCCCTGACTCTAAAGGCAGCGTTGGGCTGCGATCCCCATGGTCATCGGTTCAAAACCACCAGCAGCTCCAAGGGAGAAAGACTGGGTTTTCTGCTCCCATAAGCAGTCACCAGCTCAGAAACCCAGAGGGAGTTGCAATGAGTCAGCACTGATTCAATGACAGTGAGTGAGTTAAAGAGAGAGTCAAGTGTCTAATTCACAGCTAGAGTTCCGTCTTTCTTCAAAGTATCAGCCCAACACATCTGGGATGAGGAGGGGGAGGGGAGAAAAGGACACTCCTGTTTTTCTCCCTACTGCTGAGAGTTCTGGCCAAATACCCAGAGAAGTGACCCAAGTCCAACATTTTCGGAGAAGCATTTGTAATCACAAATTTACTTAGCAGGAAGTCAGGAGGCGCAACAGTTAAGCTCTGAGCTGCTAACCTAGGAGTGGGTTGTCTGAACCCACTCGGCGGCTCTGTGGGAGAAAGAATGGGCAATTGTGAGGGTGACAGCCTAGAAAACTCTATGGGGCAGTGTCAGTTTGTCATGTGGGATGCCTGTGAGTCCAAAATCGAGTTGATGGCACCCCAAAGGAACTCATTTGACTAAGATCACTACCCACCACGTCCCGTGATAATGGACACCACTGTGGCACGGACTCCTAGGAGGCCTAGCTGGACCCTCAGATCAGAAAGTTTCCAAGGTACCGTCAGCATCATGACCTATGGTTTATCTTGGATTCTGACATATCCGATATGAGCATCTTTGCCCTTCTACAGAGGCCACAGTCAGAAGAGACAACAGTGAAAAATACAGTTCTAATGAAAGTATAAACAGTGAGACCTGGGTTGTCGAACTCAATTCGTTCCAAATTCATGCTCGAGAACAATCTATTTTCCCCAAAAGAAATAATGGAAAACCACATAATTCTGGGGCCAAAAAATTACACTTATAAACTGATTGTTCCAGGACTTTCCATCACTATGGAGGCTTGCAGCCTTCTCCCATCTCGCTGTCTCAGATACACGAGCGCCATTGAGTTGTTTCTCATGTATCCAAATTACAGTCACTGTTCGACCTCCCCCACCGTCTGCGGTCTTTGTTTCATGGCTAACGATTTCACACCTTTCCCTACGTTAGCCGCTTTAATCACATTTTCTTTTTCGAATGTTGATACCGTTGACTTAGCCATATGGTATTCAGCTGCTGAATCAGACAAGCAGCGACCTGATTCCAATTTCACAATGATTGCTTTCTTTAACTCTCTTCAAATTTCACAATGATTTCTTTCTTTAACTCTCTCCAAATTTCACAATGACTTCTTTCTTTAACTCTCTCGGGGTTCTCCCAGCTTTCCTGCTGGTCTCACTGGCTTTCTTTGGAGTCTTGGTTACGATATTTTATGCAAACAAAGCACACAAAGAAACGCAATGATGAATGTTTTAACACACTCACACAAGCACTAACTGTCTGAGCGAGAGCAGCACTTAGACTGAGTGTCACCTTTGTGTCTGAGGCAAGACTGGACCTGTACAGGTTTTTTTCAAGTCGGATTTTCGGTTTAACTATCAAACAAAGTTGCAAACACCAAATAGAATTTCCCAACTTTGCCGTGTGAGTCGTGGAAAGGCCAAGCTTCGGGCCGTGCGACAACCGAGGGATCGCTAACAAAGCAAGCGGACGCCGTCTCTAATGGTCGCTCAAAATGTGAAAACAGAACTTTGAAGAACTGACATTTTTAAAAAAGCTTCTCAAAATAATGGTAAGTTTATCAACAAATCCATCTAAAAGCAATTCTGAAATTGAAATATTCGGATTTTAAAAATCTGAGGATTTAGCAAAAATAGAGCTGATGACAGTTTTAACCCCTACTGGTGAAATCTTAGCAGTGTCCTACCCCTGTTAGTGGGGGGACTCACTCAGACCAGTCTCTACTTGTGCCTCCACCCCACACCCCCTGAGCTGCCCTCAGGAGAAAGTCCTAGGACCCTAAGAACTACCACGGTCGTCCAGGTGAAGTTCCTTCCTGTTGGGTGGCTGGTGTTAAACAAGAGGGTTTTCTTGCGGTGGGTAGTTAAGTTTGGAACAGGGGCAGGTCTAACCCCGTCCTAGTGGTTACCTGTTGGGCTGCTCACTGCGAGGTCGGCAGTTGGAAACCACCAGCTAGTTAGCAGGAGCAAGATGAGGCTTTCTACTCCCATTGAGAGTTCTAGTCTCAGAAATTACAGGGGCAGGTCTACCCCCTCCTAGTGGTTACCTGTTGGGCTGCTTGCTACAAGGTTAGCAGTTGGAAACCACCAGCCGCTATGAATCAGCATCGACTCGACAGTCGTGAATATGTTTTGTTTTGTTTCTGTAATGGCCTTTATGGACTTAAGTAAGAGGCCTGAGGATCTGCCCCGGCAAAGACAAACGCACCACTGTTGCAGCGATTCGGACTCACGGCGACCCTAAAGGGCAGAGGGGAACTGTTCATAGGGTTTTCGAGGCTGTCAATCTTTTTTTTATTGGCATACATTTCACATATCATACAATTTAATTGTCCGATCATATTAAGAAGGGTTGTGTGATCATCACCACAATCAATGTCAGCCGTCGATCTTTACGGAATCAGACAGCCTCATCTTTCTCCAGAGGAGTGACTGGTGGATTCAAAGCACTCACCTTTCGGGGAGCAGCCTATGTTTAAACCACTGCACCACCAGGCTCTTTCCCAAGAACCCAGCCCAGGAAGCCCGGGCTAGTTTTACTCGGCCCTACAGGGTGCCGGTGAAGCAGTCGCTGCTGCGCAAGACACAGGCCATGCCCCCTCTTCCTTTTGAGAGAGAGATGACTTTGCTTGGAGAGATGGATCACAATCAGGTGAGTACACCTGTGGACACTTGGGCGGTTTTTATTCAGGCCAGACCCTGGGACAACTGAAGTGAACTGTAGAACATACACACGCTGTACACAGCTGGCTGGCAGAACATATTCAACACACAAAACCCCACTAGACGGGGACCACTTTGCAGTTTCTCTTAAGATACAGGTCAACGGCCTTTGGCTGTCCCCACACATCTGACAGCGCCTTTAAAATAACGTCTCTCCAGGGTGAACCATGGCATACATTTTTCTGGTGCATTTTCTCATCTTTAAGGCACTAAGCTCCGACCCGCCCCCCGCCCCCCTCTTCAGCTTTAACAGAGTGCAGAATGAGAAAAAGGAGAAGATATGTTACCTGTTTTCCTAATTTTCTAACTGTAAACCAGTGTTCTTTATAATTGCATATAAATGATCTTTCATGTCTAGAAAAAGAAAAAAAAGTACATATGCAAGATTAAGTGGAAATATTAGCGTCTGTGTTCACTTAGTTTATCTGCTAGCAAGAATCATACAGTTCACGACAATTTAGGATTATGTATACAGTTAAGCATCGCTGATGTGGCCAATCACAAAGCAGCCCCGCTCTGCACACACAAGACCACGGATGCCAGGCTGGAGGGGTGCAATTGCATTCCATTCCCGTGGGAGCTCTGGACTGCCACAGACCCTGGGGCGTGGGGGCAGGGAGAAGGGGTGTCAGGAAAGCCCAGGAGGGCACATGTTCAAGGGCATCCCCCAAAAGGTACCATGGGACAGTCTGAGGGGATGAGACGGGAAGCATCACAACCATTCCAAATACACTGTTTTCTTCTTTAAGAGATTATAACTATGAAAATCAACTTTGGGAAACGAAATGTAAGAAAAGCAAAATAAAGTCTTACATAGGGTCGATCCTGAGCCTCTGATACTCTGGACTGTTGAACAGGATTAGTTCTAAACCCCACACTTTCAAGGCATTGCTTATAACCTGTTAAAAAATAGGAACTTTTCATGAGCTAAACCATTCAAATGCCAGACTTTTGAGTAGCCATGTTAGTTGTGTAAACAAGTGCATATCATAGATCAATTTCCCCGGGAAGGCTCTGGCTTTTAAGCGGCCTGCTTGGGTGCGAAGAGAAGACGACGACATCCATCAATCACAGCCACCCACAGCCGTCGCCTTCAAGGAGCAGCTCATCCGCTGGCTTGCTGGCTTGTTCCGGAGAACAAACTGCCTCCTAAATCCAGCCCCAGTCTGCCTCGCCACAGTGGGCCCCAACCTGCCTCTGCTCTTCTGGCTGTTGTGGGTGCAGCTTTAGGAGCCCACTTATAAGACATACAACCTGCCGTGTGTCAGGGAGGCTAATGCCAAATCTAGGAAAAGGAGTGTTCCCTGGGGATTGACCTGGGAGGGTTCACAGACTGACATTTCGAAGAGTGCTAGTCTGTAATCAAGGAGGGGGAAAAGGGCTAACCTGGTTATTTCCATTCCCCATCTGCCTCATAAGGTAGCCAACAGAGAAGCAGGCACCAGCTGAAAAGGGAAGTCAGCGGCTGGGGCGGGGTGGGGATGGGAGGGAGGTGGAGGTGACGTGTGAATGGCAGCGAGGGCAGCGGGGCACAAGCAGGCAAGGGCCAAGTGCAGGCTTGCCCCCACTTCCGCTCCACCCAGCCCTGCAGGAGCCCGTGTCAGTAACTGTGGCCCAAAGAAGCACACTGGGGACTGATGGGTGCATCAGGGCAAGACAGGGGAAAGCAAGAGAGATGGGTGCACAGAGCTCCCTCCACAGACGCGGACATACAGTTGACCCTTGAACAGTGAGGGGCTTGGCAGTGTCAACCCCCCTGTGCAGTTGAAAATCCATGAATCTCTTTGGACTGCTCTCAAACTTACTTACCAATTGCCTACTGTGTATAAAGGCGCGCTGGTGGTGTAGTGGTTATGTACTGGGCTATGAACCGCACGGTTGGCAGTTTGAAACCACCAGCAGCTCCACAGGAGAAAGACTGAGCTTTCTACCCCCATCAACAGTTACAGTCTTGGACACCCACAGGGGTTGCTATGAGTCAGCACTGCCTCGATGGCAGGGAGTTTGGTTTTTGGTGTTACTGTGGATAGGAGTCCTGACCCAAGCCGTGGTAGTTTCAATCACCACAAGACCCGGCAGTGTTTAGTTCTGCTGTGCACCGCATCACTATGGGTCGGAACCGATGCCACGGCACCTGACCACAACCCAATAAGCATGTAAAAGTTGACACGGAACACGGCAAACCAAAGAAGAACCGATGCACTTGATGATGGTGCTGGTGAAGATTATTCAAAGTACTGTGACCTGCCAAAAGAACCAACCAAGTTGTCTCAGAAGTACAGCCAGAATGCTCCTCAGAAGCAAAGTCCACCTCACGGACTTTGGACATCATGCTAAACTGGAGTAAAGCGGAGGGGCAGCGCAAAAGAGGAAGAGCTTCAAGGAGATGATCTGACACCGTGGCTAAAACAATGAACTTGAGGCTGACAATGGTGTGAGGCTGGGGCAGGACCGGGCAGCGCATAGTTCTGTTGTGCACAGGATCTCTGTAGGTTAGAACCAACCCGGTGGTACCTGACAGCAATAACTGTGGACAGGAGGCATTACTGGTAACAGAGGATTGTTGATTCTATCTACTGCACCCACATAAAAACTGCCTTTTCAATTTGAGACCAAAAGACATTTTGTAAAAAGTGCAAGGCTTTCACAAGGGTTAACACAGCTGCGGTGACGGCTTCATGAATTCCCTTGTCTTTTTATTTATAAAAGTCCCTGAATTGGATCCATGGATCTTGGATTGGTGGGCAGCCGCAGCTGCAGATCTCAATTGACAGATTCTGTCAAGCAACACAATGTTTTCTGAAAACACCCTGACTTTTCTCTACTTCCTGGGAGCGATTCTGGCAATACTAATGGCACTTAGCACGACCCCTCGGTGTTATTTGAGGAGTACGCTACTTCACTAAACACGAAGATTCAGTGAGAATTGAGAGATCACTTTTGGCTGAGACAGGCAATTTATGAAGGAACTCTGGTGGTACCCAGGGTTAAGCATGGGTAGCTAACAATGGGGCCGGCAGTTCAAACCCACCAGCCATTCCATGGGAAAAAGACAAGGCTCCTGTAAGAAGTACAGTCTCAGCAACCAGGGAGCAGTCCTACAGCCCTACTCTGACCTGAAGGGACGCAACCAGTGGGAATCGCCTCACTGGCAGTAGGCTGTGCAGTTTACTAGGGAGATGAATTGCTCAAGCAGAGAGGATGAGCGACATGTGGCATTTTTCTCACACACACACACACAAGTGGACACGGGCAGTTCAAACCTGCATTGTTCAAGGGTCAACTGTAACTGGCTGCACCTCCTAGGTCACCTTATCAGTGACAGACAAAAGACACACAGGTACTGATAAAAGCATCTCACAAGCACACACACAAGTATATGCCAAGAGAGTCCACGGGGAGCTCTGGGTTAAAGCTTAGAATGCTGAACACCAAATAACCAGTCACAGACGATGATACAGTGCGGCCCGGCAGGCTGAGTTACACAGCAGCTTGTAGAAGGTGCTGCATTCGGCCAAGTTTACCCGAGAGACTGGAAGCTTGAACCTTTGTGACTTATTGGGATGAAGTTATAATTAGCATTCAGATGCAAATGAATGATCAAAAGGTCACTTTGAAAGCCAAGTCTCAAAGAAGTCAGAATTGAGATTGAGAATCAAGAGGCCAGGAAAACAGCAAGTTCCACCGGGAGTAGGAAGGAAGACTATTCATGTTTGCCTCCAGGGATATCTAGGTTCCCCGGGAGCCTCCTCTACAGATACAGACCCTGTCTCTGTGAGGGACTGCCAAGGGTCACATGGGGACAGGGCCCCCTGGAATACAGAGCACCCCCACCCATCATGCCCTGAAGCTGAGACGGGGCCTGGCACGGACAACCCCCAGAGAGTGTTTGTGATTACTTACTTGAATAGAGAAAAACCCACTGTCATCCATGTTTCCAGAAGGCTGCTGCTTAATGTGGAGGGGTGGGTGAGAGGGAGGGGGGAGACAAGGAAAAGAGCTGTCATTAGTCAGCTGACCCAAATGACATCCCCCGCCCTCCGCGCCCCCAGAGTCAGAATCACCGAGTCAGATCGCTCGAGGAAGACTGGCTTATCCCCTTTCCAGCAGCTCCCACGTTAAAAAAGAAAGTGCAACACAGAAGGCCTATCCTCTCCGATTCAAATGACATCTCCAGGGGCAATCGCAGAAGCCACGGAGTGGAGTGTGAAGTCCGCACCTGTAAAAACGTGCGGTAATCTTCGCTCGTAACACCACCTTCCGCCATCCTCATCCTCTCCTCTTCGTCCAGCTGATGGGCGATGGAAGACAGCTCCACGGGGCTGAAATACTCCCCTTGCAGCAGATTGTTCAGGCAGTGTTGAGCACACAGGGAGCCTTCTTGCTAGGATTTCCAAGAGGGGTAAAATAAAAGAAAACATCAGATGTGATCTGTCAAATAGATTTGTACTGTGCCTTCCCTTAAAGCAGTGGTTCTCAACTTTCCTAATGCCGTGACCCCTTCATACAGTTCCTCCTGCGGTGGTGACCCCCAACCATACCATTATTTTCGTTGCTACTTCATAACTCTTAATTTTGCTATTGTTATGAACCGGGCGACCCCTGTGAAAGGGTCGTTCTACCCCCCAAAGGGGTCTCGACCCACAGGTTAAGAACCACTAACTCAAAGAGACACAGAATCATTAACTTTTTCACACAGTTACACACCTTCTTAGCTTTCAAACAAGCAAGATTAACAAAGGCACACACATTTTCATGTTTACACTTGTTCCACAATTCCAGTTATCACACTCTACAGTAAAAAGAGCAAGCCTGCTTTATACGAAGACAAACATGTGCTCCTGTAGCACAAGCCAAAGCTCCTGTTTTACAGAAGACTGCTCTGTATATACGTTTAGTGCCTGCACGACATTCCCGTCTGGAGGCCCGTGGCCCGTGAGTCATGCTGCCAGGGGACTGCAAAGCCGCCAACACCTGCACTTTGAACCGGAGAATCTCCGCTCAGTCTTCCTGCTTACTCGTGGCACCAGTAAGAAACGGTTTGGGTGAATGAAGACGAGTCACTACCGTGCTTCCGGTAACCGCAAGTGATGAGCACTAGGCCAAAGAGCAGAGCTGTCCAATAAGGGCTCGCGAGCTCAGTCCTGGGCAGTCCAGTGGGAAGGACCACACACTCCCCATAAAGCCCAGGGCTTCCACTGCTGGGCAGCTGGCTTTCCTAGATGACTGGGTAAACAGCATGCTTCTCAAATCCAAGTCCACATTGCCTGGCACTCACTCAGCAGCCTGCTTATTACCTGCTCCCCCACCCACACCCCCTGCAATGGCGCCTTCCCCATGTTTGCCCTGTGAGATCACTCCCTGAGCACACATCCTCTACCCAGCATGCCTCGCTGTGGGATGACATGTTTCTTCTGCAAACCCTGGGCCTCCGAGTTCTCCCATTTCTCATTAAGGTCTGCTCCGGGTGGAGTCTGCCTAACAGAGAGATGTCATTCGAGATGGTGACCCCCAGGAGACCACCTTGCCACACAGACCCTTTCCCCTGAGGCATCCATTTTTCAGGAACAAGATCCAGCTGCTGACCAAGCTTCAGGGTTTATGGGTTCACTGGAGTAGGAAGGCGGCACGAAGGCAGCACGGGTGGGGAGAGTCCCTCCAGTGTGCTGGTTGCACATAGGTAGCCTGGGCCAGCACGGGCACTACCCTCAAGCCACAGCCACAAAGGTGACAGGTGACTTCTGTCTCCATCGTCTCCCTTCTACCTGTGTTCCTGCTTCCAGAGCAGGCACTCTACTGAACAACACAACGCAGACTGCACACAGACCTGCTTCCTAGGTTTCTAGGTTAATGGACACATCGGATGATATGGCAAAACCAAAACAATAGTAATAATATGTAATATGGGTTCCTGAGGGTGGGGGTGGGAGTGGGAGAAATATAGGGGAGCTGATACCAAAGAGTTCAAGTACAAAGGAAATGTTTTGAAACGGATGGTGGCAGCAATTGCACAACTGTGCTTGATCTAACTAAATTATGGATTGTTATAATATATGTAAAAGTTCCCAATAAGTGATTTTTCTTAATTGGGCATGACGAACAAGCACAGCACTACAAGGACGCCACTGATTTAAACACGTGAACAGGGGCTCACCTGCATCCCTCATTGGGGGGGCGGAAGGCGTGTGCCGTACCCACAACATGCTACTAGCACACACTTGCTCAAAGGATTAAAATACTGCACAGAACACAGACACAAGGAAACACACATCTGGGGAAAGTATTTCCACCACCTACTAATAGGAAAGCCCATGGGAGCAGCAGTCTGAAATGAAAGGGTGGTCACACTGGGAAAATCTGCTGCTGCTGCTGCAAAAACCAGAGCCTCTCTAAGGTGTCCAGAGCAAAGCTGTCACGTGAAGGACTGAGCTGGGCCTGACGCATGGCATGGTCATTTCAGTCGCCTCCGAAGCATGTGAAGCCTTGACAATGAATTAGGAGGACAGGAGAAGGAATTGACGCTTTAGACTACGGTTATTTGAACCCCAGTGAGGGATGCTGAAAGCCCCACGAGCTGCCAAAAGAATGAGCAGCCCCGTCTAGGGAGAAGTACAACCAGAATCCTCCTTAGAAGTGAGGGTGGCGAGCGCTTGTCTCACCTGCCTTGGACATACCGTCTGTCAGGAGGGACGACTCCTTAGAGAGAGAGAGGAAGAACCTCCACAGAGGGTGACAACAATGGGCTCAGACCTGGGACACGTGACTGGGCAGCGTTTCGTTTTTGTACCAAACAACCCAAACCGCTCTGCCATCAAATCTATACCACCACCAATCAATCGTAAGAGATACGTGTACTTGTTGGGAGACGCTGTCTGGTCAGTTCCGACCCACAGCAACCCTGTCTGTATACCACAGGAGGAAACATCCCCCAGCCCTGTGCCGTCCTCACAACGATTGCTGTTTCAGTCCGTGGTTGCAGCTCCCGGGTCAATCCATCTCTTTGAGGGGCTTCCTCTTTACGGATAACCTTCTACTGTACTAATAAGCATGAAGTCCTTTTCCAGGGACTGGTCTCTCCTGATAACATACTATGTACTCTGGACATAGGACATACCTACTGTCTTATAAGTTAGCATTCCTGCTTCTAATTCTAAGCAAGAGCTCATTTTTAAATGGCATGTGATAACCAAAGCCATCAACTCATTGTCATTGAGCTGCCTGCTTCTAATTCTAAGCAAGAGCTCATTTTTAAATGGCATGTGATAACCAAAGCCATCAACTCATTGTCATCGAGCTGATGTCGGTTCATAGGGACCCTCCAGGACAGGGCAGAACTGCCCCTGTGAGTTTCCAAGACTGTTAAACCCTTGCTCCCACAGAGCGGCTGGTGGTTTCAAAGTGCCGACTCTGCAGTTAGCAGGCCAATGAGTAACCACTATGCCACTAAAGGCTCCTCCTCCTGTTATCAGGATATATAAATAAGTTGTAAAATAATGGGGAGCAAAAGGGAGAAAATTGAAAAACCCTATCTTCTTGACTATTCAGATAATCACTATATTTTGAAGTTTTTACTTCACTTTTTCCCCCCCATGCTCAAAAAATACCTTTTCTAGATAGTTATCTGTCAATATAGTTTGGTAAGCTAATTTTATCCGTTCACATGCAAAAATCAGACATGTAAACATGTGATCAAAAACAAAACAAAACATGTAAACAGAGATATTGGCTAACAGAATTGAGAATCAAGAAATCAAACGTCTAGAGTCAGATGGTTTTCAACAAGGGTGCCAGCATAATTCCATGGGAAAGCACAGCCCTTCGACCCACATGCCAGATTTCCACATGCCCAGGGCTCGCCTTGGGCCACTACACTTCACACCACACACAAAACCAACTCAAACAGCATCTCCACTTAAGAGCTACAGCCACGACACACACTGCGGGAAACACTGGGGTACGTTTTCCAGACTGACCTCCGACGTGGGTCATGGACTCTCAGACACCAAAACCCCAAGAAAATAAAGTTCAATTGAACATCACCAAAATCAACACCTTTTGTGTATTACCAAAAGTGAACACCGAAAAATGAAGGGAATACTTGCATATCAAGTATTAACAATTCCTTTAATCCAACTAAGAGCTGAGGAGAAAAAACTGGATTCCCGTCAACACTTTCCAGAGGACTTGTGCCGCAGGCGCACTCAATGCCGGGTGTCGGTTGCTCTCCAGCCTGCTGCTGGTACGAAGGAGACAGGGTCAGAGGCTGAAACCCACCAGCTGCTCCAAAGGAAAGTTGGGGCAAATCTACTCTGTCCTACAGGGTCACTATGTGTCAGGATTTATTTGAAGGCAGTGTTTTTTGTTTTTCAAGTGGGCGTTCTTGTGATACACATGCTTCTGTGTACAGGAACTCTGGGGAGCTGTTGGGTAGGCTCCAGTGGTTCAAACCCACCAGCAAATCCAAAGGAGATGGATGAGGCTGTCTGCTCCCGTAACGAGGTACAGCCTCAAAGACCCTACACAGCATCTCAATTAGTAGGCCATGGTTTTGGTTGGCCTTATAAGGAGTTCTGATGGCACTGTGGCATACGTGCTGGGCTGCACATACAAGTCAGAATTGACTCATTGGCAGTGGGTTTGGTTTTTCAATTTGATAGGTATAATGGTCAGCAGGGTCAACAGTCCGAAACCACTAGCAGCTCCTCAGGAGAAAAATGAGGCTTTCTACTCCTGTAGATTTGCAGTCTCTGAAAGTCAGAGGGGCAGGTCTACTCTGTCCTACTGGGTCACTAAGCCAGAATTGATTCAATGGCAATGAGTTTATTTTTTTGGTTATGTATTATTGTGCACTGTGGTTACACATTTAGCTGTTATCTAAAAGGTCAACAGTTCAAAACCACTCGCTGCTCTGAGGGAGAGAGACTGGATTTTCTACTCCTGTAAAGAGTTACAGTCTCGGAAACTCACAAGGGTAGTTCTATCCTACCCTATAGGGTCACTATGAGTCAGCATTGACCTGATGACTTGAGTTTTGAGTAGTATAGAGCCCTGGTGGCAGAGTGGTTAAGAACTCTTTAACTGTGCATAACTGAAAGGTTGGTGGTTCAACCCCACCAGTTTCGCCAGGGGAGAAAGATGTAGTCAGGTTCTGTAAAGATTATAATCTTGCCACCCCCCTTG